ACTCTCTCCCAAGCCAGAAGAATAGAATCTGCCTGTGATTTAGACAGATCCCTGTCCAGGAGGATGGAAATCCAGTTACCCACAAGGAGGAAAGAGGCCCATTGAGTTCACACCAGGTCCTTTGTGGCTTTCAACTAGTCTTGGCTAAGGGTCACAACATAGTACTGTATTCTTGACATATTTTGATGATGGAGTGGGCAAGATTTGCTGAAGGATTAAATGTGGGGCATTAGAGAAGCGTCCAGGATGATCGAAAATTACGCATCTGGACAACTAACTGTATCAAAGTGTTGTAGGCCAAGAGGGAACACTGAGAAGATGTTTTGGGTGGAAGTCAGGAGGTCAGACTTACGCATGAAACTTTGAGACATTTATTAACACACAATTAGAGGAAGATGTTAGGGAAATCATTCGATGTACAATCTATAGTTCTGGAAGATGCCCAGCTGGGGAATATAAATTTCAGAGTCATCAGAAGTGGATTATATTTAAATCTGTGAGCCTGTCTGGGCACCCAGGGAGCACATATAGACAGGACAATGGAAGGATGAAGAAGTGAGCCTTGAGATGCTATAATATGAAGAGGTGGGAGATGAGACTGAGGAAGAGATCCAGCAAAGTAAGGGGAAAACCCAAGAAGAGGAAGAGGGAGTTGGTCATCTGTGCCAAGCGTGTAAAATGCTGTTTATAAAAGTTGAGTTAGATGAGAAATGGGATTGACTATAATAGGGGTTAGCAATGTTGTAAATGATCTTGGCCAGGGCTATGATGGCGAAACAATGTGGGTAATTGAGCTGTGGTGTAAAAAGGGAAGTGGCATCTAGAGGCATTTTAAAAGTTAATTCTTCATAATATTTTCTGTAAGTTTTCTTTTTTATTATTTTTAAAGTTTTTATTTGGATTTAAGTTTTTATTTGGAGGTAATAGTGGATTCACATACAACTGTGAGAAATAACACAAAGATATCCCATGTTCCCTTTACCCAGTTTCCTCAAGTGGTAACACCTTGTAAACTATAGTACAATACCACAACCAGAACATTGATATTGATAGTGTCAAAATAACAAAACATTTTCACCACTGCAAGGATCCCTCACGTTGCCCTTCACGAGACACACCCCCTCCCTAGCCCTCAACAACCACTCATCTCTTACTCATTTCTATAGCTGCATCATTTCAAGAATATTTTATAAGGAGAATAATAGAGTATGTACCACTTGGGAGGGCTTTTAAAAAAAACTCAGCATAATTCTCTGGAGAGTCATCTAGGTTGCTGCATGTGTCAGTAGTTCATTTCTCTTTATTTGTGAGTGCTGACCATGGTACTGACATACCACAGTTTGACCATTCATCTGTTGAAGAATATCCAAGTCATTTTCAGTTTGGGGTTATTATAAACAAAGCTGCTATAAACATTTGTGTACAGGTTTTTTGTGTGTGAACATAAGCTTTCATTTCTCTGGGACAAATTCTCTGGAGTACAATTACTGGACCATATGGTAGCTGCATGTTTAGTTTTAAAGAAACTGCAAACTGTTTTCCAGAGTGTCTGCAGCGTCGGTAATGTATCAATGACCTAGCTTGTCTACACCCTTGCCAGCAATGGTGATGCCATTATTATTATTTTTTTAGCTATTCATAGATGTATTGTATAATAGTACCTCACTGTGGTTTTAATCTGCATGTTCCTAATGGCTAAGGATGTAGAACATATTTTTATGTGCTTATTTGCCTTCTGTGCATCTCTTCAGTAAAATGCTTTTTCATGTCTTTTACCCATTTTCTAATTGGATTGTTTGCTTTTTTTTTACTGTGAAGCTTTGAGAGTTTTAAGAAACACATTCTTGATATTAGCCTTTGGTTGGATATATGGTTCGTAAATACTTTCTCTCACTCTATAGATTGTTGTTTTATCCTCTTAAAAGAGTTTTTGCATGGCAAGTAGTTTTCAATTTTGGTAATGTCAGGTTTATCACTTGCTTAATTTTATGGATTGTAATTTTGATGTCAAGTCTGAGAACTCTGCCTAGCGCTAGTCCTGAAGATATTTTACTAGGCTTTTTTTCCTCTTGTTTATTTATTTATTTTTATGGGTTTTTTTTTTCTAAAAGTTTTTCAGTTTTATATTTTACATTTAGGTTTATGATCCATATCAAGTTGATCTTTGTATAAGGTGTGAGATTTAGGTTATATTTAAAGTGAGGTTTTTGTAGAAAGCTTATAACTTGGTTATGTTTTTAAATATCATTAGGCAGTGGTAAAGGTTCTGACTCTTCAGCAGGTCTCCTCTGATGTTACTGCAGTGGAGAGTTGGAGGGTGCCTCATTATCACCTGGCGTGAGTGAAAGTCCAGGGCCTCCTGCAGCCTCTTCTAACACCACACAGGGTGGGAGCTGGAGGGGAGGGCTTGGAACAGCTGCAGGAAGGTCAAAGTGTGGAGTCCCACTCTGCATTTGCTGGCATGAATTGGGGTGAGGCCGCGGTGTTTTCTGTGGTGTTTGGCTGGAGCAGAGCAGTTGTCTGAAAGTTTCCTGCCTTGCCAGGCTGCCCCTTTCCTCTTCCTTTGGCTGCAGACAAAAACCTTTTCTTGGGCTTAAAAGAATTCGTTTTGTCTGTGCACACTGGTGTTTTTGGATTTTCGGCGTTTTTAGCTCTAAGCCAGGATACATGAAGATAAAAGGAAGTGGCATGGCAGAGGACACACTGTCACGACCTGCCTTGGGTCCTGAGATTTCTAGCCAGTCCGCCTTAACGTCTCCAGCTTCTAGAGTTTCTCATGTTTGTTTTATATGTCCAGGATTTATATAAAGATAACACAAAGATAACGTTTGCATGCTCGTGGGAACAGTAGGAAAAATAATAATGTAGGGAAGGAGGAGAGCAATGCTGGCAACATGCCCTTGAGGAGCAGGCAGGGGAGCTGTCAGGAGGGGAACGGACAATTCATCTAGTAATGTGTGTGGAGGCAGAGAATGCAGTTAATTAAGTTCAGTGAAGGAAAATGAAAGAGGAAAAGAGAATAAAGACTGTGATAGAAGAGTTATTTACACAGACGGCTTCTCTGAGCAGACAATCTTTGATCACAAACCACTGTGAAGCAAGGAGTAAAGCAGATCAATATGTGGGGGACACTGTCAGTTAGAAATGAGTTTGCCATGTTCTAGAAACAGAAAGAGGACCTCCTCTTCCGTGCTGCTCTGCTAGACTGCTCTGCCCCTCCGCAGACCTGACCAACCTTCCTCTGTGGACCATTTGGCTTACCCCTGATTATTTACAGTGCTGATTCTCTCTGTATTGCAATCAATTTCTTCCAGCTTTCTAATGTCTCTACCATCAAGCCTTCTGAGGACAGGGACTACACCTGTTTTATCTTGGTAACTTTGGCACTTTGTACCATGCCAGACACAGAGGAAGTGTTTTAAAACTGTCTTTCAACGGATTACCACTGAAAAAGTTGTCCACTTCTAGAAGGTGCTAGAGCAGGTACAGTGGAGAGAGCATGGACTTGGAGGGCAGACAGAACATGGAGTAAGTGCTGGACTGCAGGCTTGAGCCCAGGAGTGGCGAGGTGTGTTTGGACGGGCTGCTTTCCTGCTTCTGCCAAAAGAACATGCACAGCATTGTTCATTTTTAAATTTGGATTTCCAGAGACAGAATGGAAACCATACAAAGTGCGAATTGTGCTCTTGGTTTAATTTCTCCTGCTCCCACATGTCAGGCCTTCCTGTGTTACTGGGACAGGCAGGCTGGTTGGCTCCTTATTTTCAGATGGTTTCTGAGGGGAAAGGATCAAAGCCCCTCACTTACGCTCTAGCGTATCTAACTTTCAGCCAATCAGTAACAAAAGACTCAAGAAGCTGTTAAGTTTCTATTGCAGGGGGCTGGAGGCTTCCATGGAGCCTCAGGTGTTCAGTATTAGACTTAAACTCCAGCCTACAGTTACCCCTTCCTCATTTTAATGCTAAAAATCATGCCCAGGGGCTGAGATGTAAAATGCTAATACTACATACAATGTATAAAGAGGCTGTGGAGCCACTATGCAAACACTAGAAAAACCCCTCCCATACGTGCCCTGACGTGACCCTCCCCTATAGGAAGACCCTATAAAACTAAGCCACACGTTACCCTTGTGAGCAGCCTATTCCTTTTCCTTTCTTAATTCCAGCTCCCTTGTGCAGAAGCCAATATAATTTTCTCTTTGCTGTTATACCTAGTTTTTTTGTCTCATATGTTTTTCAGCTCTAAGCCAGTATAAAAAAACTGATACCTAATTTTTTTTCTTTGCTGCTAGTCTCTTTTTGATTTCTATTCTGGGAGGTTGCAACAACCCAGGGCATGGGTGATGTTACCATGTGGACGGTCTCTGGGCTGGTGGAGATGGTACAAACCACCTCTCCTTTCTTCACTTGACTAACTTCTCCTCATCTTCCAAGGTTTTTTTCTTTTAAATCCTCACCTTCAAGTACCCAGATTCTCTCTTTTTCTGGATCAGGACTATTTTCCTAGAAATTTCAAGTCTTCAGCCTCCTCTTTCATCTTTGGAAATTGGCACAGCCTTTGGCTAGTCTCATCACAGCTCCTTACCCCTTCCTTTCTCTAGACCATTTGGGTGAGGGAGAGGCTTTAGTGAGTAGAGGAGGGGAGGAAGATTTTCTTTTATGGAATTCTACCCTTTTATCTTTACATTTTTTACTCTTTCACTGTTTGGATTGGTCTTCTGCCACCACTACTCAGCAGGATTCACACATTGCTGACGATCCTCTTGGCTAGCGCTAGTATAATTGTTAGACCTTATGCTAAAAGGCTTTCTGTCTCCTTTGCACGCTTTGAGTTACCTTACAAATCTCCTTGTTAATTTTCCTTGGTGTTGCCATATGCAGGAACTGCGTCCCAATTCTGAGGTTCCCCTCACCGCCCCCGAACCCCCCACCAGCTGGAGAGGCTAAGGCTGCTCCCTGGGACTCAGATGCTCCTTTTGCTTTCCTATCCAACTTCTTCTCAGCCTTTGCAATTTACCTCTTGAATCAAAACAGATACCCCTTCTCCTGCATAAGGCCCTCCTCCCATTGAGGCTGGAGGTCTCCTCTCCTGGGCTGTATGTACGCTGATGAAATACTTGCTGCACTAGATCTAAGGGTCATTTTTCACGTCGGTTTCTCCAGCAATGGTGAACCCCCTAAAGGCAGTCTTTTACTATTAGGTTGGTGCCAAAGTAATTGCCATTTTTGCCATTGAAAGTAATGGCAATTACTTTGGCACCTACCTAATAGCTCTTCCCCCAGGCTTCAGTCAAACCATGTGGGATCCAAATAAACGATCTGTGAAATAAATGTTTATTCCACCCCATCCCATTGGCCAGATGGGAGGATTACCAAGTTGAGGTAGAAAACTCTGGTCAATGATTTGAAGAAGGGGCAGAGCACTGTCTGCAAAGAATGGGTCCTGAAGGGAGGAGGTGGGACCCCTGTGTTCTCAGGGTATTCTGTCTATAGGCAGGAGTTGTTACTTATGGCAGGGGAGTGATGGGCGTGCAAGGGCCACAGAACTCATGCTGGAGAAAATGAGCAAAATAAACAGAAAATCTGTCCACTTTTGGGCGGTACTGAGAGAGAACTCAGTGATACCACAAGGCAGTGTCCTCTGTCTTGAAGTGTCTAGGTTTGCATTTCTCTGAAAAGGAGCTGAGAAAGGGAGTGGTTCTCTTTCCTGCCCACAGCAGCAGGTCTACTGACACCCCAGCAGCAAGTGGGCGTCTCCTTCAGCTGAGAGGTGAGAAGATCACACCCAGGGAGCTGCTGTTTGCCCCTCCCCTCCTGCGTTAGTGTGGTGACCGGGGTGAGGCGTCCTTCTTCTGGATGCAAAGACTCCTAGCTGGAAGTCTAGGAAAAATGGCCCAGGACAAAAGGCTTCAATTGTAACTGATAAATTAGAGAAAGTTGACATTTAAGGATTAGCTCCATAGATGACTTCAGGGCATTAAAATTTGGAGCATTAAAAACATCACTTACCCCAGGGAAGAAATTAAGAACTGGTGAGAAGAGAGAGCTGGGGTCATAGTGGACACCTAATGGTGATGTAATGAATGCACTTGCTATTAGCAATGTGGCAGTCAATGAGGAAAGTGGGGCAGGCCTTCGGATGGTGAGGAAATGGCTGAAATGGCCACATATCCTGGAAGAAAAGACAAGGAACTGTTTACAGTAAATCCATAATCATCTCAAGGGCTAAGAAGGAGTATGAGGCCAGGAGTGGTGGCTAATGCCTGTAATCCCAGCACTTTTGGAGACCAAGGGGGCAGATCGCTGGAGCCCAGGAGTTCAAGACCAGCCTGGGCAACATAGTGAGACCTCATCTCGATTAATAAGGTTTTTTAAAAAAGAAAACAAATTTTTAAAAAGAAAAGAGTATGAAGAGATTTTATGTAATCATTCCCTGTCTTTAGAGGGGAACCAGCTTTTTTTTTTTTT